GAGGGAAGGAATGAAAAGATAGATGTGGCTGCTTCTGGGCATTACAAGAACAGCCCGGTACACTGCAAGAAGACGTCACTGCTTGCGCCATTTTTTTAAAACCGGCGGATGTAAAGATACCCTACGATTACGTATTTCCGGTTAAAAATGCGCTTCCACAACCTGCGCATGCGCATGCGGCTGACGACTCTGGGTAGAGTGTGGCTCGTGCGGGGGGGTTACGAGGTTTTTGGAGAGCACTCTCAGAAGACGATTGAGAGTTTTTGAAAGGCAGAAAGGTAGTCATAAAATAATTTTTTAAAACGGGGGAAAATGTTTTGAAATAATTTAACCATCAGAAGGCAATTTAAAATTATGAAGAGCGGATTAAAAAAAAGTCCCACAAGTAATTTTTTGACAATCCGAGCGATTTTACTGATTGACGATAAGCCTAAGGAGTTCTTTTTTATATATAACTACCAATAAGAACTTTAAAGTAGTTGAAGGGGTTTTTTTTATTTTATGTGAGAGTCAATGGCAAATCTTATGGAGAAAATTTATTCCGTGATTCAGGGTTTTCTGCTTTAAACGCTTAATTGCTGTGACGGTTGTTTACTGAAGTATTTTACATTTAAATACACACCATTAGGGTGACCAGATAATCCATATCATCCCGGACACTTTGAGCTACTTCTAGTTATCTATCCATCCATCTGAAACCGCTTATAACATAGGTTATCTGGTCACCCTACATACCATGGTTAGCAAACGGTTAAGAACTGCAAATTAGTAACTTAGTGTAATACATCTCAAGGACGGAACAGACAAACCTTGGCTATAAATAAGAATTAAATTGACTAGGTGAGAACGATCTGTTGTGACTTATATAGTTTGCAATGTAACCAGTTGGGGTTTTTTTAGAGTTTGATGGGTGACTGATAATTTTAATGGTTGTTGGTATCATTTAAATAACAATTTCAGTAATAATTTTACTAATATATATGTTATAATTTAAATTACATAAAATAATAATTTATGAATAATAATAATAATAATTGTTTTTATTCTGTTTTAGCTAAGAATTTGTAGGCCTAAAACAAGAAAACTGTTTACTTGTCACAATGTGAGCTTGTGTAACATTTATTTATTTTTGCATTATGTAACATTGCTTCATTGTATGTAATTTTGCACACACTTATAGTCTTTCTTCTTAACAGTAAATGGCACATCTATGGACAGTTGGCGAAGTCTCCCTTTGGCTGGAGCAGAATGACCTTCAGGAATTTCAGCAGGCCTTCCTAGGTAATCATTTGAATGTAGGCATCCTACCAGTGTCCACGATGCACCACTAGAAAACCAACATATGACAAACTCTTGAAACATCAACAAATACATCATGAAAATGGGAGTAGATTCTTTATTGTATGTGGACTGGAGAACTGTCCAAGAGAGTAATCTTCCATAAAGTCCTTGCAAAACCATGTAAGGAAGAAATATAAGCATCAAGTACTGAAATTTGAGTTAATCTCAGACTCTGATCCCTCTATCTGTGGAACAGTTGAATCTCCTGAATCCTCTGAAGCGACCAGTTCTTAGTTCACATACTGTATGACATTGTAGAGAACTTTACTGAGACTTTGAAAAAACAACTGGCCCTATTTTCTTTGAAGCTGCAGAAGAAAAATGTTGTACGAAGAAAAGTGCAAACATTTGCTGTTACTGAAGTGGAGTCAGTTTTCAAGTATCTAATTGAAAACTATAGGCAAATGTTTTCAAAATTTTTGCAGACTTTGAATGTTGATTTTTCAAGTCCTCAGCTTTCATTTATCCTAGATGACAATTTGCTTGAATACTGCTTCAGTGCAGTGAACAGCACATATCAACTAGAGAGATACCATGTTGAGAAATTGAACTTAATTGAACCTGTTGAATATGTCTTGGGCAATTTCATGGCTAACAAGCCAGTATAGTCATTTGAAATATCCAACTATGGTCTCATGTTGAATACTCAATTTCTTGGAATGTCTCAGGAAATTAGCCCTACTAATCTAAAATATAAAATATGTTGTTTAACCAATTCAGTTTTGGCTAACAACTCTGAAATATGTTAGCCAACTTACTTTGGATAGAATGGACAGTTATAGCCATGCATTTATGTGTGGGTTGCCTGTGGTGTTAATTCAAGGTATCACAGGGAGTAGTACTGTAGGAGCTCAGCACTTGTTAACTCTCCACTGATGTATTTGACATTACTCAAAAAATGAAAATAGCACAACGGCTTAGCAGAGACACTTAATATCAACAGGGCTATTACTGTTACATTGTAGCTCAAAAATAAAATACATATATATATATATAGACTAGCTGCATAACTGTTTGTTATTACTATGTTGTTTCTTAGGTTTCTGTTTTGGAGGTTTCTGTTGGTCTGCTCACTATTCTTGGTTGTGACATTGCTCACATCTCACCCATATGCTGGCAGATGGTCTTCCTCTCTGGTATAGCTTTTGAGTGCCATGCTGTTTGTTTTTGGTGCCCCCCACACATAAATACCAAAGCAAAATCAATTACAATGAATGATTTTGGCCAACAGGTGTTGTTCTGTTAAATATTGCTTTGGTCTTAATGAAAATTCAAGTAATGATTAAAAACATTTAGGAATGCCTCTAATCCTCTCTACTTCTACAATTATTTTTGTCTGGTGTTGTTTCTCTTTGCTGTAGGTAATGAAGTAGATGGGCCTACACTTCTGCATATGTCTGAAAGAATGGATGAGTAAATTTTTCCAAAAAAAAAGACCAGGTGAAGTTCCTGTCTGCTTTAGCCCAGCTAAAAGTGTAAGTTACATTATACAGTTAAGTCATGTAATTTCAGACTTATTGAGATTTCTGAGGATTTACTTATCTTGTTTTTTGTATCTTTTTAACATGTTGGCTTTATTTAAAATCTCAATTTCTACCAATTTTGCAGTGAAAGCCAAGCCCCTGTGAGTCAAATAACCCCAGCAGCCCAACCTATGATGAACTGCAAAGTCCGGTTTCATTGCATTGACCAATAAGGATGCAGCTCTGAAGTCACATACAAAAAACAGAGTAAAAAACATGCTTATTCAAGCATGGATCATTTGAGCCAAGAGACCATGTAAGTCTTTGTTCCATAATAGGAGTTTTTTTTAAGAACTGATTCATGGTATTACAGTGGTTTTACAATAGGATCATCCGTTCAATTTCAGCTAAACTTTTACATTTTGCCACAATCTACTGACATCAGAGCATGTGAGCGGAGTGGAGCGGAGCGTGAGCGAGGAGCGGAGCGGGCGGAATTTAGTCAGTGCGCGGAGCGGCTTTGTAATTAAGGCTGGAGCGGTTGCTCTGTCTCGCTCCAATTTCGCTCCGATACCGCTTACACTACGACTCTAGGGTGTGCCAAAATCTACCCAGAATTCATCTGTACAATTATCAAGACTGTTACACAAATTGGCCGAGATGGAATTCGTAAAGTATTTCACAAAGGAAACTGATAGATCATACAAGTGTACTATTCCTATCAAACGTAGCCTATAGATGACAATAATGCAGGGCAAGAACAACAATGTGGTGAAACTGTTTCAGTGAGTAAAGATTCACTT